ACCTCTGTCTTCATTCTTTACGTAATTCATGTTGGGTGGTTGCATTTGTTGTACTGGTGTTATGTAGTACTTGGGGGCACTTGCTACTGTGTGTGTTGGTAGGTTCATGGTTGGCCAATGTCTGTTGGGTGGGTTATAGAAAACATCGTTCTCTTATTGTTGCGTGCGCGTTCCTTTACGCGGGAACNGGGGTGCGTCATTCTAGTTGCGGACTGTTTACATTACTTTCGTACCTGTTGGTCTGAGGTTCCTGTTCTTGGTTGATTTGCACTGTTTATCACTATTTGTCACTTTTTCTTTCTTTACTAGGTAGTTCACTCGTAGAGCCGGTTCTCGATGCGTGCTTGCGATACGAAGTGCAGACGAGTAGTGTACACTAATGTTGTGTTAAATTCCGTGTTTATCTGACCCGATAAAAAGAAAGTTGTTGGATATTTGTTTTCCATAAATATTCTGGTTAGGTACGTCTTTAGCTACTCGTCTATTGCTTGCGAATATTGGCTTAACAGAAAAAATGATTGCGAAATGTCTCGTAATGGACAAGTAATTTTATTTATGATTCATTTAACGACGCTCTCAGTATCTGAGACTATATATACTACATAGCCAGGAGGTTATTTAGTGAACGATGTATTGGAAAGGATGTACACGTAGGAGGAGGAGATCATGTCTTATTTCTGGTAATATCCCGGCGTTCTCCAGAATGAACTGAGGAAACTCATGAAAATCCTTTTTCAAAATAAGCGGTGTCCTGGCCAAGATTCGATCTGGGCACTCCCCGAAACAGAATGAGATGCTTCACCGCGTTAGCTAACTTTCTCGATATAAATGGGTTATAAGCTCGTTGTATGAAAATTGTAATATCAGAATATCTTATTATTGAAACACATTTCACGATTAATTTATTATACATAACTTTTAATCCACATAGTTATTAGTTACATACTATTATGTACTTAATTATTAAATGTTTTGTTTTGGAATTCATAAGTACAATGATTTACACTTCTACACTATACACTACATTAATATTTACTTCTGAACTACATCTCAAAAACTGACTAAAATTAAAACAATATTCTTTTTAACGTTATAACATAAAGTGTTTCTGAAATATACACCACATAGTATAACATTTCCTGTAAAGTTTTGCATCAAAAACTTTATTGAGCAAGTTTACCTTAAAATAAGATTAAATATTTGAAACTCAACACTGATCAAAGGACGGTCGGCTGAATGTCGAATAAGTTTATTATTAATCGTGTTCATCAACTATACATCCACTGCAAATTTTATCATGTGGAGGTGAACTAATTACGTAATGCAATTATTTAAAATTATAATGATCAGCATATTGGGTTATAATTTTCGTAGAAGGCAAATATTTGGTAATTTCTGAAATATTGCTATAGGAATATAAATTTCAAGTAGATTTTTATAAAAGAAATCTTAATTACAAACAGACCCAAATTCAGAATCTTTTCGAAATCCTACGCAGAATCAAAGGCATCAATAAAATATATTAACAGCGAAGCATATGAGAGATTTATGGTTCTTCTATCGCTTAATATGAGGAGTTACATTGTGGGATGTGACGCTGTGTAGTGAGGTGGGATTTTACAGACGTTTCGGAGGAATACTCTAACTAACAAGCTAAATAATAACTGACTGACTGAGTAACTCCACAGAGAATATGATTACCAGACCGTCTGCTGGTCAAGAGGTCTCAGCTCTTTTAGGTAACCCGAAAGTTCATTACCATGTTCACAAGAGCCAGCCACTGAAATAATCTGTGAATATGGAGAGGAGAGAGCAGCCACATAAGGAGGATAGTGGTAATACATTCAGTACGTAATCGCTGAGGGCTGATAATGTGGTCTTCCAGGACAAGGGGCCAACAATCTCTCACCGTGAGAAGCCAGCATGTTGCGAATTCTTACACAGAACTTCAAAAATAATACTGACTAACATATAAATTTCTTTATTAAAATCCATCAAAACACAAAAACAAAACAGATGATGTTTAACGTTTTGGAATTCAGAGGCTCTTGTTGACTTATAAATTGTTAGGACTAAATTCTGGAATGCCAGGGTGAATATGGCTGTTAGATCAATTAGAATGGAAATTTTATCTTCAATTTTTGTATACATTTCTTCATTATTCGCTCGTTAGAACTATCAGAAAATGACACACTTTTCGGAAGGAATATTTCCGTTCTGTACAAGAAATTGATAGAAACCAGGGATATATCATTTTTTGTTTGTTTGTTCAGATTGAGTATACGCACAACTGTAGTTCTTAATATAGTTTAAAAGTGATGATTTTTAGAATATTTATTTAATTGAGAAGCGAGAACTGGAAAAAAATAGATTTCCAATGATTTGATACATCTTTTTGATATTTTCTTCCAGTTAACGTTTCTAGACCGTGCAAATGTGTTTTCTTAGAATGCTGTACATATTTTCGTATGAATTTAAAGAAAGTTCATATTTAGCAGTCAATCGATTAAAATGGGCAAGTAAATTGGAATTCGGAGTTCTTAACTCTGATATACTTAGAAATGATATTCTAGCTTTGAGATAGTTGTTTGAAGATTTGTACAAATTACTGTGACTCAAATCACATAGTTTCATAACATTAAACTAACAATTGTAATTTCCTGTTCTCTACCTAAATCATCTTACACGTTGCCTCAACAGATAATGACGTACATGGTTACCTCGTAAATAAAATACTTACTAAGTTTCTATTTCCAACGTAAGATGGATAACAGTATCCCCATGGCAGAGATTTCATTGGACACACAAGAATTTTCATCTGTAAAGTTGACTACTTAATGAATGACCTATCCACATAGATTTTTAGAAAGACAGCACTAGTCAGAAAAAATGGAGTTATATGTGAGTCTACTGAAACAAGCTTGAGGAATATGGTAAATGACGTCACACGAATCCACGTTTCCTAGTCACGTGTGTGCTCTTAGGGCTTAATCCTGACAACAGTCAAATCTGCATCATTTCCAGCTTCGAACTTGCTTACCTTAACAGTATTTAATGCAATAAGAGTTACGTCATATTCATCTTTAAAATATACAAACAATAACATACATATAGGTATTACCTTAAATTAGCCTGGCATCGACAGGATGGCATTCACAGAAAAATAAAATTTGTGTAGAAACTGGGAAAAAATACGAGTATTTTGTACTAATTAATAAATTCTGCAAGGAAGTGAAAGCTTCAAGTATGAGTTTGTGATGACGTAAATATTCACAGTCGATTTTAACTTAAAAGTCTTGACCTGACATATATTACGTTAAAATTGCAAAACTACAAAGTCAACAAATTATCCTTAATCTCCAGTTTACATGAAATTTAAATAGACTAGTATATATTAGAGAAAGAAATCCCCAAGGATTTCTGTCAGTATTTCTGCAACTAATTGTCTTAACATACTAATTAGTATACAAATTTCTAACCAGCTTAAGCTATTCTAAGACATGTAAGTGAATAGAATATGATAAAATTAATTTTAATTGTAAACTTAATTTACTGCTATGGAATATACAGTATGAGAATTAAAATGAACACATTTGAACTTTGTTCGTAACTTTGAAATACTCGTATAGCATTTGAATGATTAAATACTGCTCTAAAATACGTTCCAACTTGTGAGTCCTCTTACATATAAATGGGTGAAAATTTCGATTGATTTTAATCTATAGTAGCAAAATTATTCGTGGTGCAATAACCAATTAATATATTTCGCAGTTGGGTGTAAGCTTTGGCACACATTTCTGAGGACTAGCCATTTCAGTCAGTGACACATGAGTCATGTAATTAAGGTTAAGGTTAACTTTATTCCTTCTGGTCCGTCACATTAGTTAATTATTATAAAATGATTTCACAACACCGTCTAATGTAACAGTAAATATTTGTTTATATAATACATTTACATATTTTGGTCAGTTGTGACCTTGTTGTTATAACCTTCTGAATATGGGCACAACTGACAGAAACGTGTAATGGCACAATATAAACAAATATGTATTAGTTACACTGGACGGTGTTGTCAAATCATTTCATAACATGCATTAGGAGTTTATAAATCACTCATTATTTATCTCTAAACCTTTCTGAAGACAAGTATATAATAAATATTATGACTTAAAAGTGCCTTCCAATACGTGGTATAGAACTTATATAGAATCTTTTGACTGTCCGTCTCCGCTATAAAATCTTCTGCTGAAAATTATAGGAGTAGTTTCTGGCAAATGCTGTGGCGCAGAAGAATCCACTGTAATTTCCTCATATGGCAACAATTATAGAAATATTTCTCTTGAAATATATACTATACTATAAATATCGTATCTATATGACATACATACACACATACATACATGCTACATAACTTTCACCCTACGGAAAAAGCCGACACCTGACATATACATCAATGATATCCAGATACCACGCAAAGCAGAAATAAAATACCTATGTATGACTATAGACAGCAAATTAACATGGAAGCAGCATGTAGTCAAGAAACGAAACCAAGTAGACTTAACCATTAAACAGCTAAACTGGCTAATAGGCAGGAAATCAAAGGTAACAGTCGAAAATAAAATTCTGATCTACAAGACTATAATCATTCCTATTTGGACGTACGGGCTGGAGCTATGGGGCTGCGCAAGCAAAACCAACACAGCAATAATCCAAAGAAGCCAATCTAAGATCCTACGAATGATAGTCGACGCACCAGGGTATGTCTCCAACGCAGCACTCCAAACCGATCTCGGTATATCTTCCGTACAAGACGTCATCCAACAAAAAAGCAACAGACGTCACAACAAAATCATAACTCACAAAAATTCACTTCTAAAGACGCTATCGACAAGAGAAGACAACAGACGGCTCAAACGAAACTGGCCAATTGACCTGATTTGAATTCCTGAGGATTCGCCGCTGGACGCCTCCTCATCACGTCATCTCAACACCCATAATATTAGCCTATAGGATGTATATTCTGATTGCTGATTGCTGATTAAACTAAAAAAAATATGTTCGTGGAATTGGTACACTAATTGATTAACAACGAGCCGACCTCTTCGCTATGGCTGCTCTATCGCAGCTACTCCGAACCGAGTTTATCGAAATGTGGTGTGAAAAGGGATTTTAATGTATCACGCGTTTCTTTGTCAATTAGTGAATGTCACGTCACTAGTTGTTTAGCAACAGGAACTTAAATCCAGAATACGTGATTTTCCTTCCTTCGGTATTCATCAAAACATTGTTTTGTCATAATGCCATGCGATTATTTTGATCGTCTCTAATTCCTGCTGTGCCAAGCTAATATTTTAGGTTGTCAGAACAAATATAGTTTATATACACATGTACTCTCTAATAATTTCATGTATGAGGAAAATCCCTTCCAATTTTTTCTTGAGTATATAGTTCAGATAAAATGCCAACATACATCACAAGGACTTAGATATAACAATTCTTCTAAAGGTCGAAAATTTCCACATTTGGCACTTGTAGGCTTAAACTTTTATAAAATTATTGCTCGTGTTTATCGTGGAAATTTCTAAACTAACAGGACATTGAAAACCATTAACAAAAACCAGTTACGACGGAATACTTTAATAACTCATCTCTTTCCATATCACATTAAATAATCAAGATTTACATATTTTATGAATATATTATCTTATAAAATTCATCATATATAAATTTCACGAATAATGGAATAAAGCAGTATCAGAATAGTTGGGCCACCCGCGCTGATTTTAGGAAAGTAAAAATGTTCATGAACAGATGAACAAAACTATACATATAATCATAAGTATTATAGTAATTTAGAAAACGAACTTAAGTTTTAATAAAAAGGAAAGAAGCCTGGTTATTGTTGGACCGCGCCAAGTGCCAAATCAAGGGGCGAGGCCTCCGCTGAGGACACAGGCTGTACTAACGTGCAAGCTGACCTGGCCTATCGCGCATCACAGCAGTGACGACAGAAGACTCTGTGGAATGAAGGCTGCTTCCGAGGAACCGAGATACTTGGATAAATTTTCTCTAGTGGCAAATTATTCACCATAGATCCTACGAGAACTGCTCTGGGACTGAACCCAGACTCCCTCAATTAGAAATAGGAATATAAATGCATAATATACGGCACAATGACAGAACGCCAAGTGCTTTACCTCGTGATGAAAATAACATAAATGATCACATTCTAATGAATCAGTAAATATAATTCTGAATTGCTGGTGCAGATGTCTGAAGGAGGACTGAACTAGTGGTGTGAAAATGGCAAACCAAAATATTTCTTATTGAAATATGATGTGTATTTCATGCGAAATAGTATAGTTCTTTTATAATAATGACATTTGTGTGCGCACCGAAGTAGAGAGAGTCAACGGAAAATTTGGTTAGAAACTTATATTTTATATTTAGAAAAAAATAAGTTTTTAAATTTTTTATATTTCTCTATTTCCTCACCTTCTTCAAAAGTTGATTATTTCTGAAAATCTAGAAAGGGGAGATATCGGAATCCCCCCTAAATTGTCGGCGCCCATGGTAGCAATCTGAGAACTATAAATAATTTATAAATCCGAATTTTTCCACGTGTTATTAAGAATAACAGATCACAAGTCTACTGATTCTATATCAAATATTTTGGCAAAATATTGTCGTTACTCTAAAAACTATAATTCGGCTTTTACAAAATATCACCGATGGAGTTTTTTCTGGGCAGTTTGGCCATCATAATATTGTCTAATTTTCATGATGGAGTTACACTTTTCTTTCGCGGAAATTTAAAAAGTGGACCAACAGCATTTTCTCACCAAGTGGAGCATTTTCTAGTTGGATTCATTGGTGAGCCTATTGGACAGTTAAATGCTTCAGAAAACGATGGTGAATTCATCATTATCCCGTTCACACTGAAACAACAAATAGCACATTAAATCTATTTCATCACCTATAAACACTGTCTGTCCATTATACTTGCTCTCTTTAAGACAGCCATTCACCACCACTGAGCCCAGAGAAAAATTTCTCGCCACAAAATTCTACTTGGTTTCCATGAAGGAAAAAATAGAAGTAAAATTGTTCCACGCCCTAAAGACGTATTGAGGAGTGAGGCTGGGTTTACATTACTCTTGACCTCGGCGCTAGATGGAGATGAGTGGTAACTTCACAACCCAGCCACTTTAACCTATGTGTAATGAGCTCCCTCTACCCATTGGACAAGTGGGTGGGTGGGTGGGCCCCAGAGCGGGTCCGGACGCTATGGAATACAGGAAGGACCCTTCTCTCCGTTGGGCATTGAACATGGTCGTCCAGTCTGTAGTCCGTCGCTGTACTAACTGAGGTATCCTGGTTCGTTGGAGATCTCATGTATAAAATATTACAATTAGGAATTTCTGTTTTTATTCTTGTGGTGATTTCTGAAATTCTTCTGAGTATTATTAAAAATTTCAGTTCTTACTTTACACAAGCAGAGCGTTTCCTCTTTACAGAAACGAACCGGCTAATACTCTCTCTCTCTATTCGTTTTAGGGATCGAGTTAAGTCTATAAATAAACTTAATAATCGTTTTACACAGTTTTTAATGTTAAAGCACACTACTGACACACGACACTACTGATAGCACCCTGACACACAGCGCATGTCCAGCTAAATACGTATACTAAATTCATGGAGCTGAGCCCTCCTTGAGGAGCCGCCAATTGTGCAGTTACTCAGGAACTTCCCAGCATTTAATGGGAAACTAAGGTTCATTACTGTGTATACAAGAACCCTCCACTGTTCCCTATCCTAAGCCAGGTCCACATAATTCCATCATCTCTCTCTATGATCCATTTTAATATTATCCACCCACTTATGTCTTGGTCTTCCTAGTGGTCTCTTTCCTTCTGGCTTTCACACCAATATCCTATATGCACTCCTCTTCTCCCCATTTTGCTACATGCCCTGCACATCTCGTCCTCCTTGACGTAATCACTCTAATTATACTTGGCGAAGAGTACAAGCTATGAACCTCCTCATTATGCTAATGTTCAACACACCTCTGATACTAGCCAGCTGACTGATGCCACTCATAGAGGAGACACTCATGTTATATGTTATTCCGAAGGAAAATTTGGGCCCCTTCTTATTTAAAGTTTTGTGTTTGGTATGGTTACTTACCGTTCTGGAAAAGGTGTATGGAAATCCATTTCCACTAGAAGAACATAATCCTCTGGTGACAAAGTCGAGCAGTATGTCTGAAAAAAATGGATGGTCTGAATGGGTCGAAACATGCATATTCAGTACTGCACAATACGGCGCACCTCCTCATATGATTTCGGATTTTATTATATTCCGTTAATATTCTAGCCATGTTAAAAATCAAACTCTGCCCACACAGACAAAACGCAATAATGTACGCTCATAACACGTGATTCGTGACATAGATCTGCAAGTTTTCATGCATGTTTACCTGCGCTGCATTTAGAAAGAATAACTGTCTTGCATTCAGATTGATTCCGGGCAGTCGTGGGTCGGGTTCATGTTCTTCCTGAAGAAGACTCCATGTCTTATAAGCAATCTGCAGTCCACTGATATCCGCCATATTCTCGTTCCGTGTCAGGTTCCAGTCAAACTGTAAGAACGTGAGGACGGACGGGTATACTTCATCTGCTGTAGGAATGTGTGTCTCACCGTCAGGTAGAGACAGAGACTATTACGTCATTACTGTACAGTATTCATATTGCGGTGGAATATAGGAATACATTGTAGCATACAGATCAGTTGCTGGGAAACGACAGCGAGATGAGCAGATATACAAGATCTGTTACTAAGCAACGATGTGTTCTGTGAGGTGTGTGCCGAGATGGTATAAACGTGACAAGCTGGGAGCTGCAGTTAGTTGAGTCAGCCAGTGAAGAGAGGAGTGAGTAGTTGGTGTGAGATGGTAGGCAGCCCGTAAGAATATAAGAAGAGGACATTGTAAGGATCCGTTACCAGGAGGCGACTAGTGAAAACAAATTGAGGAACCTTTATTTATGCTGTAGATACGGTGATCTTTAGATTGTGCATACCAGTGAGGCTGCTATAGTTGCATGTAGTTATAATCTGGAAGTGGTCAATAATTCCAGTCCCCAAACCAAACCTCATCCATAGCACACTCTGACACGCTACAATTTTTACACAGGACTTTACTTCCGTGGATTTGCCTATATGAGGTATAACGTAATCAGATTAGTAAAGTGAAAAGCCTTTCAAAACGGTTGGGTTATGAGAATAATGCTCATAAGTAAGAAACAAATGCAGAAGGACGAGCTGGATGACGGAAGGTTCGGAATTCGAGTCCCGGGATGATCAAGAATATTTTCTTCTCCACGTCGTCCAGACCGCTTATGCAGTCTACCCAACCTCGTATCCAATGGGCATGGGGGCTCTTTTTAATTTTCTTTTTAATTCAGTTAGTGTGGGGTGGAGTCCAAGTGAGTCCACTCGGCACGGCGGCCACTGATTGGCCTATAGTAGCCTGCCTTGGGAATGAAGATTGGCAGGGGAAACTGAAGTACTCGGAGAAAACCAATCTTAGCGCCGCTTTGTCCAACACAAATCCCAATTGACCAGACTCGAGATCGAACCCGGGTCGCCGCGGTGGTAAGCCAGCGACTAACCCCCCATGGGGGCTCTTTCCGTGGAGGTAAAGGCATCGGTGGGTGAAGCTGACCAATCACTTACAAATAGTGCCGAGTTCAAGGAAACGTAGATCTATGTATGCATTCCCTCATACGCCTTCATGGAGTAATGCTAATTAGTTAAGCACAGGAACAACTTTACATTTACCTGTGTTTAATTAATTAAGCACCACTCCATAAAAATGTGTAGGCGAGTGGAGGTATAGCTCCAACATTCTTAACATCGGCTCTGTATGGAGGTGAGTGGTCACTTTCACACCCTGGCCACTTTATAATTGACGAAATTGCCCCCAGTACCCATTTGATAGGAGACTGGTTGGGTCCAAGTCCCAGTACCAGTCAGGACTTCGAGGTGAATAGAAAAATCTTGCCTCTGCTGGGAATCGAACCCAGGCCCTCCAGCTCATAGCCCATCTTTACACAGACTGAGCTATCCCGTCTCATTGAGATAAACTCAGAAAGTCTGGTAAATAAATACAAAGCTACATGTAGGTATCTACTGCATGTGCTTACCATGTAGAGATGTCATAAACTCGCAACATTCGCCGCCTGCAGAATTTGAAATATCGTCAATTTTTCTTTTTCTCACCTGGACCTCTATGTTCGCACCCATGAAGCTGACTTTCTTCTTGAACGTGGCTGCGTACTGCCTTGCCACGCAATCCAGCCTCGCCTCCAGTCGGAGAAGAGACTCTCGCGAAAACCACTCTGTGGGCTCGCCCTCCGAGTCGTAATTGATTCCGATCAGGTCAAAGCCGTGCAGCATTTCGTGAGAGAAAATGACGCCTATCGTTGCATAGGGAATATAGCGAGGGACGTCTGCTCGGAAATAGGGCTGAGTGAGAACAGCCAGCGGTATCACTGCAAACAGGTGAACATGATTTTATTGTTACTGGTCCGTGTGATTACCCAGGTTCATGTTATAAAAAATGTTAGCCTACATTAGGCATTAGCCTACAATTAGTTGTTTTTCAATGGCTCTTCCAGCCCATTCAGAGCCCTGGCCTCTTATTCAGTTCCGTATTTATTTTTCACAGAGGGTAGGACTCCTTGGGCGAGTGATCAGCCCGTCGCAAAGCCGCTACCTAAACATAGAATAACACAAACACAGAATAAACGCATACACACACCATACATCCATGTCTTGAGTGGGATTCGAACCCATGATCCTAGCATCCGTGGGAGCTAAGACAGTTCATGTCTAAGATAACGCGCCTACTGTGACCGGAGAGACTAGAATTATTACGACACTAAAATAAAAACTAAAAATTATGGTAAAAACTAAAAAACTTTTCCCCTGTGCTTAACTAATTTAGCACTACTCCATGAAGGCTTATGGGGGAGTGAATGTATACAACAATGTGTTCTTGACCTCGGCACTAGTTGGAGGTGAGTGTTGAGCTTCACAACACGGCCGGTTTACAGTGGGGGAAAAAAGCCCCGGATTACCATTGGATAGGAGGCTGGATGGATAGCAGAAAATCTTGCCTCTATCGGGATTCAAACTCAAACTCCTGGGTCGTCCACCCAGTAACCAACAGCTATACCGGCTACACTATCTCAGCTACTCGATAAAAATAAACAGAAAATAATATTTAAAAGTTCTTTATTACAACCTTACAGAAAACACAACATATCTCCATTAAAATGTTTAATCTGTTAACTCTGTTTAGTTAAACGACCTCTGTTAATTCTAAGAATCATACGAGATATATAAATATATTGTTATGCAAAATGTGGGGTTTCTTAATCTTAAATCAGGTATCACATATACTCGAAGTTACCGCTGCTTTTTTTAGGGATTAGAATTCAATTATTGCAGGAAACACCACGCTTTCCATTACAAATATCAGTCAGTTAATACGAGTATGTGAGCCGATCACGGTGGCCGTGAGGTCTTCACCTGTTCGAACCTTGGGATCGCGGGTTCGAATCCCACTCAAAGCACAGATGTTTGTCTAAATTTGTTCGGTGTTCGTGTTGTACTGTATATAGCAGCGACCTTGCGTCGGGCTGATCCGCCGTCTAAGGAGTCCTACCGATTGTCTGAGATTAAGAAACTGAAGTGAAACAAAACGTTTCACGGATGCTCTATGCTCCGACGTGGAAACAACGGAAATATAGATAGATAGAATAGCATTTGAAGGGAAGTATAGAAGAAAATAAAGTTCTCGAGCAGTGCTAGTAGTGTTCGCGAGCGTCCATTCCACACCAAATAAAGGGATTTGCTCTCGAATAGATCGTGGATAGTCACTCCAAGCGAATTCTCTGAGAATACCTCAAAATTATGTCACAGCCCGTTTCTTCCTCATCCTTGCCAATTCATTATTCACTAATCTTCTTATCATTTGAAGGTATATAAAAGTCTATCCACTTTGCGAACGAGAGTACGTCATGCTTTGTAAAGGCAACGTTACGGAAAAAATCCCACTTGAGTATGTTTGAATTTCCCACAGACGTACAAATATCAGAAGCATATTGTAGCATGTAGACCCGTTGCTAAGTGATGAATCTGTAAACAACGACCGTTGTTACATAACAGATTCCTAAAGACGCGTCCACATTACTCGTGCTCGTGCTCGTGTGACTCGCTATGCTCGCGAGTAATATGGACGATATGACAAGTCACGAGACAAGCAAATTTAAAATTGTTAATTTAAAAACTATAACCAATAAATAAAATACGACTACAGCCTATACACACTACGAGTAAATATACGGATCATCACGCGTCGAAGCCTGACGATCAACTGAAGTAGTGTGGACGAAGATTTACGGGCACACGTAAAAGCCAGACGAGTCTCCCGACGAGCACAAGCCTGGCGAGCACGAGCATGAGTAATGTGGACGCGCCTTAACACGCACCAATGGACTAACTGGGAAGAGGTGTTCTCTACGCGGTCCTAAAGACAGCTACGTGACTCAACAAGAGAAGAGATGCTGGGAGAGGTGTTTCCTACGCAGTCCGTGCTGAGGTGTTATAAGCAGGAAAATTCTGGAATTTAGTTAGTTCTGAGACAGTCGCCGGCAAGTAAGGACTTTAACATGGAAGTCGAGGGGTTTGCTGCGTTGGAAGCCGTTACCACACAACGACTAGTGTAGACACAGCAGACTGAGAAGTATCAGTGCGTGCTGTAGTAAACTGCAGAATGAGTGAATTAGTGATAGACTATAGCTACTTGTAGTTACGATCTGTAAGTGTTCAGGAAGTTCTGTTGCCGATCCAAAACCCGTTTATGTTCACTCCATCACGTGACAATATAAAACTGGATCTAGTAACGTTCTAATAACGAGGTAACTGTCTACGTCACTAATTGGCCAGGACGCCTTCTCGTTCTAGTAGTAGATGGAATATAGTCCAAGTTCCTGAGTGCGTCTTTAAATAAACCTTATATGGAAATTTTATTCTCTGTGTCTTTCTCATGACCGCGTGTGGTTTAGTGGTCAACGTTTTGGCTACAGATCCAGAGGTCCGCTTTCGATTCCCGGCGCTACCAGATTTTTTTTCTGATAAGTAGTGGGTCTGGAACGGGATCCACTCAGCCTCGTTATGATAATTGAGGAGCTATTTCAAGGAAATAGCGGCGCCGATCTAGGAAACCGAAATTAATGGCCGTGGGGATTCGTTGCGCTGACCACGCGACACCCTCTATCCGCTAAAGTTGGCACTAAACTTCACTATCAAGCGGCGGTCGCTCGGTCGGTATAGTTCGTTTTCGGACAAAAATCACGGAGTGTTTTTCTTATTCTTAAGTTGAAAAAACGCTGGAGTATTGCTGCGTTATGGACAGTCTAAATACACAAAGTACACAAATGTTATAGGTAATCACACTTACCTATACTATTGAGTGTAAGCTCATAAAAAGCATTGACAACAAATGGATATGCCCATCTGAAACATAAGAGTACATCACTCACTATCGTCTCTTTATACAGTAATATATATAACTTTCAAAATAATTTGTGGTTGCTAATGTTCTTTTGTTTTCAATACACTCAAACAACCAAGGAAGGCAGTTTTCTATTATAAATGACTGTGATTTAGATCTTGATTTATTTCGAACCAAGGACCTATCTCAGGATAATCAGTTGATATGTCTCGTAAGTCACTCTACTAAATGAAATTCTACGCCCATTGGAATATCACAGATACATAAAAATTATGCATGTAGCCTCGAACAAATGTACCAAACTCTGCAGTTATTTATTACTTATTATCATTATGTTCAACTTGAATGCTAAGAAGCGTTTCAAAGCTAATATCTGAACAAAACACGTATCATTTAGGAATTATGAATACACGCAAAATTTCGTGTTGTTAACCACTGGTGACGTAGGTTTTAATGTAGATGACTATCTTCTTGGATATAATACCTTGTAGTTAGTTTAAAGTCAAGGTTGATTTTAAACGGACTGCACGGCGTTACATCCCAGAATGTAGAACTCTCCATAAACATCGCTGTAAGGACATCAAATCCCATAAAGTTCTTAGTACACGTATTTCTCTCTCTACATTTTATTGATTATATAAAAATAATGTAGTGTTTGGAACACGAAAGCTGAACACAGGAGATAGAACAAAGTAGAATTATTTTCCTTTAATTTTTATTGTGATTTTACTCAATCTATTCTACGTCCTTTATGCTCTAAGGAAGTAAATTCATTTCTAACCTATAAAATAATTAAAATTACAGATAGAGGCGTTAGGAACTGAGACAACGTAATGTCTCTAAGCGATATCAGCACTATTGTTCTCCGAAGGACGCGCCATAGCTCAAGCGGTTGGTCGCTGGCTTCCCACCGCGGCGGCCCGGGTTCGATCCCGGGTCTGGTCAAGTGGGATTTGTGGTGGACAAAGTAGCGCTGGGGCGAGTTTCTTCCGAGCACTTCGATTTTCCCTGCCAATCTTCATTCCACAACATTCTCCATCATCATAATCACCCCGGGCAGGTACAATAGGCCATTCAGTGGCCGCCGTGCCGAGTGGACCCAGCTGGACTCCAGCCCCCACTAAACGAATAAAAAAAATTGTTATCTGAAGGAACAGATAAGGACATGAGAACTTACTTCTGGTCACCTGGCTGTTGTTCGCGGAAATTGTGTGACGTGGTCCTCAGTTGTTTGTATCTGCGAATCACATTTCCGAAGAAGTCATCAGAATCAACTTGCACCTAAAACGTATATTTCAAATGTAAGTTTTATAACAGAGGTATAATAAAACACAATTGAAGTAAGATATTATATGTGGGGCGTGACAGGAGGTTGGGGAAAACTGCATAATGAGGAGCTTCATAACTTGTACTCTTCGCCAAGCATAATTAGCATGATGAAGTCGAGAACGATGAGATAGACAGGACATGTAGTACGCATGAGGGCGAAAGGGAATGCGTATAGGATATTGGTGGGAAAGCCAGAAGGAAAGAGACCATTAGGAGGACCAAGACACAAGTGGATGGACAATATTAAAATGTAGGATATTGTGGTATGGGCTGGATCGATCTGGCTCAAGATAGGGACCAGTGGAGGGCTTTGTGAACACGGTAGTTAACTTTTGGGCTTCGTGTAATGCTGGGAATTTCTTGAGTAGCTGCACAACTGGTGGAGTCTGAAGATGGGGTCAGCTGCATGAAGTTAGTTTTTGTTCTGAAATAGCATGTGCATCCTTTAGAGATTATCAGCTGAAGTCTAAGGAGGAAATCGGAGTGTGTCAATACGAAGTGAATTTGTTTTTCACGATGGTAAAACTTGAGATTGTATCTTCTAAGTTGTATAACTTCATAGGTGATTATCAGCGTTATGGATACAATTGCTGCCATCAACTTCAGGGAAGATGCAACAGTTTATTGTGAAAATTATTCTGCTTACTCCTATTAGTTAGCTCAATGTCCAGGTTCTTCATTTCCACACTTGCGAATAATTTTCCCATGTTTCTTTTCCTTTCCTTCCCTGTAGGTGGAGGCAGCAATTTCATCCGAAAGTTTGGTAACTACCTACCAGACAGCACAAACTTCAAACTTGAAGGTGAAAAAATCGGCGTTAGGGTGGGGGTCTCTGCGAGTGTTTCGGGTTACGGTTCCAATTTTCATTCCGTCAGTTGCTCCACGTTCATTAACTTTCCTATCATCCGAGGCTGCAAGTTCTTGGTGTCGACGGAGTAATTAAATAGTAAACTAAATTGAAACTCCTGTGGGTAAAAAGCGGCCGGCGCGTATGGCTGACAACCTCACCGTCATTTATGAGCTGATTGTCTAGAAATTGTATGAGCTTCGACGTTTCACAAACCTTTGGGCCTCCACGGCCTCTTACAGGGATTGCTACAGGTTTAGCTTTATTTAAAAATAAATCATCATATTTTAAGTAGGAAACCTTATAGAAGAAAGAGCCTTTGTCANATCAACGCCATATCCGGTATGGTGAAGTTTGTTCCCATTGTATACTGAAACTGTAACCTAGTAGTTTGTGTTGATGACTTGACGATCTACCTAAATCTTTCATGATAGCTTTCAGATATGTTTTAGACAGCCGATCACATTGGCCACACGGTCTAAGGCATTAAATATTTCAACCCTCTCAAACAATTGGATCATGGGTTCGAATCCAACTTCAGGCATGGATGTCTGTCGGCGTCGCTTCGATGTTTGTGTTGTCCTGTGTAGCTAGCGGCTTTGCTATAGGGCTGATCATCCGACCAAGGAATCCTATTAACCGTCTGTAAGATCCATTGTTCAGATTAATTCTGGTAGGAACAGACCACGGAGCCTATCACGAAAAATGGAAGTAGAAGAAGATGTTTTAGACAGTATCATAAGATTTATCTCAGATAAACACTTAGATAAAAAATATTAAAAATATTCTCTCTGTATATGTAAAAGCCATGAAATATAACTTTTCCTGGCAAGGATATTGGTGGTATGAGAGAAACGAGGAGAATTGGGCGTGCAGTAAGTGCATAGTGCCACATGCAGAGGGCGGTGGCAACTCACATCCTGCAGAATGCTGTCCACGTACGTTTCGTTCCAGAGTTGAGGCCACGTGAAGAAATGTCCACGCAGATTAGCCAGCTTATGCAGCGCTGCCTTGCGCGTCGCCTCGTCCAGCCATGACAAATTTCTGATCCTCATCTCCAAGGTAACTTTGAGTAGTGTGAACATCTCCGTCACCTGCCACAATAAGAATCCCTTCTTGCTTCGAATATATTTCACTTCGATTTACGTGAGATTCTCACACAGCTGTCTATGGAGATTCAATCTTCTGGTATATAATAGTATGTAGTCTGGTGACTGTCAACGACGTTTCGATGGAATATACCTCGTCTGACTCTTTTGGGCCGAAAAGTAAGCCATGAAAGGAACCAGCAGAAACAGGGAGTAAAATGAGTGAGGGGCACATGAAATATAGAGCCTGATAAAAGCCAATCTAAGCTTAAAAGTAACTGGGACAGAATCATTCTTCCATTGGTTAGCTTAGAGTTGCTGTATGCTTGCTGGTTTACTCACCGACAACAAAGTTGGAGATACTACATTCCTCCGAAACGTCGGTACTCTTCGTGAAAACTACAAGTCAACACATCCCAGAAAATACTCGTATGATTCACGCCTGTATAGTATCAAACTCTGCAAAAGAATTCACAGTAATACAGCCCACCTGTTTACGCAGTTCTTCGAGGAACTGAGGTGAAAACTGTCGAACATAGAGGGCGCTCACTGCCTTGGCGAAGACGTTAATTGTAACACGTGTACAAAATCCTGACCAATCCGGTGTGGCCGTAGTATTTATCAGCTCATGCAAGATGTCTCGAGCAAACACAAGAAGAAGGGCATTATGTATCACTCTGGAACACATAATTATATATACAGCTGTGTATCTGTGTAAAGTCAGCCGGCGTTTCGGAGGAACATGTCACAATCTTCAGGATCGACAAGAAAGTCAAGCAAAGAATAAATATGAAGGAGGTAGCAAGCAGAGCTCTGGTATAAAGTGAGTTATCGAGAGTTTTGTCTGAGTAAAATAAGAGTAAACAAAATTCACAAGTGACCAACACAAGCTAACAACTCCTAAAAATCAAATTTAAAATATGCGAGTTTCTGACGCCTTTGAACATTAAAGAAGAATACGATCTTTTGGGATATAGCGTCATGTAGCCCGTTGAAATTGAACCGACGTTTCGGAGGAACATAACGCCTTCATGTTCAGGATCGAAAAAGCCGAGCAAAATACCAGAGTAAAAGTACTTGGCAATCCGAATGGTATCTTGCTCAGTCTATTCAACCTCGAAGACGGAGGCGATATGTTCCTCTGAAACGTCGGTTGACTTTCAACGGACTACATGACGTTACATAACCACTGCTGTGATAACCTCAGGTCCTACATTAATGTTACAATCTTTCGGATTATGACACAGATGTTATAATATAATTAACCTGAAGATGGAACTAGCTAATTCCTTCGAAACATCGGTACCTATCAATCAAAATAATGGAGTGGCATCTTGAGAGATATACAATTTTAATTTATTAATCTTCAGTTTTTAAAACTTCTTAGTATCTACTAGCCTCTTAACAATTTGAAATCGAAGAAATAATTGCAGTTACCTGTTCTGAAAGTGGGTCAGCATCTGATGAAGATCTTTTAAGTAGTTTGGATCTATCACATAAAATATATCATTATCTGTGAAGTTGGTAGCGAATACGTCATCCATAAGTGGTTTCCATTGAACCTGTAATGGGAACAATTTTACAGTAACGATGCAGGACATATCCGCCAGAAATGTGAACGAAGTATATTATAGCAACATAAACGTACTCACAAACCCGAATGTTTCTTGAAGCTCCGAGAGGTTGTAGCTCTTATAACCATCTCTTCTCTGGAACGAATTGATAATATCTTTCTCTCGTGGAAATGTCTGAAATGTACGAGGGAGAATCAGTAAACAGGTCACAATCGGATATGACAAGTAAAACGCGTGGTGTTCTCGACATATCCTCAACCAACATTGATATACTAGTCCTAGCGCTTTACCCGAGCGTCAAAACAAGGAGCATAGAAGATTTTGACTGCTTTCTTAGTCACTTCCGCAAACGACCCGGAATCATCTGCGACTTTCGAACCTCTTGATAGAATTTCTCGATCCAGCTGTGATTCTCTTTACGTGACAAACACTTCGTACCGTAAACAGAAAATATTTCTTTATGAATATTGTTATTTGACGCCTCAAAGCCAGAATATTGGAGTCAGATTGGAAGTTGATTTCCTAGGTTAAGAGTACTAACAGAGTACATTCTCGTGACAACTTGTTACCATGGGATTATTATGCATGACTTCCGTGACAACTCTCTATTAAGTATATTAGTTACTGTGGAATTGGAGGTGTTTCTGTGGTAACATGTGTTTAGGCAGTTACCGCAGATACGAAATACAGAAATCTTAAAGATGTCTCCTATCCCAGCCGACGAGGAAGCTCAAACACGAAGAGTTTACCAGACGAATTAATTACGGAGAGAACGGGAGACTTACGGAAATGGACTTGTCTCCGTACAGACTTAAATCACTGAATTCGTTCAAGGAGCATTCAATAGTTGAAGTGTTGAAGACGTTAGTTAATGTGTGTAATTGTAAGAGAACGCCAATAAATCCATTTTTCCTAACTAGAACCCTTAATTTTCGTCACGCGTACTCGCTACACTTGACAATATCATTTACATTGATTTAATTTGTCAACAAGAAAGCACAACAGAACGCTGCTCTTCGGTAGTACATTCCTCAAGCATGGTGGCCATTTTGACTGCTGAAACCAGCCTCTTAAGATGCGCATGCGCGTCTCCTAACTAGACTGTCATGAAGCTGGGCTGTGCTGCTACCTGCTGATATTAATAGAGAACTTATTACGTCTATTATTACTGATTTACTTTAATTTGTAACATGTTTACTGACTCCCTCTCATTTGGTTCTTAATATGGGTAACCATTTACCTATTAAAATACCGTGATTTTTATAGTATATTTCATCTGCTGCAACACTCAAAACCCTCCACTTTCTCCAAAAAGTGTTCTAAATTCTTATGAATTTCAGAATTAACAGAGATTGCTTCGAAGGTTAATGTCTTCTGGGATGTGACACCATAGAATCTGGTACTTTCTCATCAAAGTTTCTGAAGGAACACCTTTGCCAGAATCTTCAGTGTGCGAGAGTTAATTCTACATTAAAGATGGAGGCAGTACTTTCCCTGAAATGTAAGTAACGATCTACTAGATTATACGGCGTCACGTGTCTAAAGAGAGAATTCATAATAGACACTGTCATTTTCATTATTTTAAATTTCGCAGTCTTTTTCCTAAACAAATTTTTGCGCTTAATCTTTGTAACCGGAGCGAAGTGTGTCTTCTACGATGTTCGACCTCCATTTTTAAACTTCAGGTAAATTTTGGACCCGAAAGGATTAATTAGGAGTAGGAATTTTAACGATGAGCCTAGAGTTTAAATTATTAATATTTATAAGCTTGTAAAGTTTCCTATGTGTGTGAGTTACCTTACTGAGCATGGATGCGAACAGAAGGATACTCTGTGCCTCTTTTGCTCGCATCTCTGGAGGCATGTTGCTTGGAAGGAACCTATGTACCAATTTCTCCAGGCTCAGTAGCCGCTTCTCTTCTGCACTGTCCTGAAAGGTGGGTACAAACAGTCAAGAAAGACAAGACACATAAACAAATGGGTCTGGTTTACAGAAGTTGATTCTATGTACGATGGTAAATATGGTAAATGTAGCTTCGAATGGTAACATGACTGATGACTGATGAAGTGGAAATTATTTGGAAGGAAGTTGTCGTGATGGAATAGAAGTAGTATCTTGGCATTTGCCTGGAGTCACTGAGTAAACCTACGAGTATCTCAGTTCGTACAGATGTGGATAGACCTTCTCCCAAACTTATTTATTTATTTAACAACTCTTTCAATAGATAAAATTACATAAAGTCAAATTATGAGATAATCAGTGAATAAATAATTTGCTAAGGTACGGTTCCTATTAGTGAGGCATGCGGTAGGGAGCCAATATGCTACAAGCCGGAAGGTCACGAATTCAATTCCTGATTTACTCATTAAAAGTTTTATTTGCCCTAATCCTTCCAGCCGCAGTATGGTCCTGGGCTCGACTCAGCCTCTAACAGAAATGAGTACCAGGAATCTTCTTTGGGATAAAGGGCGGCCGGCTTTTAAGGCTGGCAAACTCACCGCCATGTGTGAGTCGACTAATTAGAAAATGTGGGAGCCTCGACGTCTCACAAACTTATGGGCCTCCATGGCCGGTTACCTTATGGTTCCTAATCTAAGCTGAGATACCATTCCGGAATTTGCGTGAAGATGAGCGAGAAAAACCGGTGACACTCCATCAAGACATCCAGCCTCCGGGCTGAATACTGAATCTCTGAACTTACTGATTACGATGCATTAGTATCACACATCAATATTTAGGTACAAAATACTGAACTATTTTTTCAATTCAGAAATATATTAAAATTATAATGTTGGGAATTCTATGCAAAAATGTCGAAATTCGCATCTGTAGCTACTATCCCAGAAAAGTCTTCAGTTGGCACTATTATATATTTACCTGTTCAGGTACACCTTGAACTCGCCGTTTCGTTGAATATGCACTTAATATAACGCATCTGGGCAAATGCTGACTAACCCATTGACTTGCAGTAACTTATTTCCATTTTTCGGTCCTCTTCGTAACATCTACCAATGATCAATAGCAATATGAAATACGCAGACAACCATAAAATGTATGCTGTTGTACTGTGTGAAACAATGATTTCGAAGTGTCCCTCAGAGTCTATAATATGTAACAGGTGGTCAATGGAAGAGTTATGGAGTGAAAACCGAAACTAGATTTGATAAATGTAAAATTTTCCGCTTCGAGAGACATCGGTCGATGCTCAATGATCCTGCTGCTTACTGTAGAGTGGAAAATTCAGGCAAAAGGGTCGGAGATTCTCACCATCAAGTCCTGACGATCCATGAATCACAAGTTCGACTCACAGATACGTTGTCATAAAAACTACAGTCGCTGCTCCTCATATTTTTTAAATCCCACTGATTGATCAGATTCATATTGCAATTAAATTAGGCCATTAAAAAACTAAAACTAAAACTAACTAAAACTAACAGAACGCTTGCGCAGATGTGAGTAAATGAGACCACTGGCAGACCGTCAAATATCGCCTCCATCGGCATTTCAGTCAACTAAAAGTAACCGACGCGGATGGGACTTCATATCTTCTCGTATGTACTGTTGTCGGAAAGCCGTCAAGTGATGATTCGTCTCGATAATTCCTTAAAACTGACGCGGAACGGGCGTTACATTTTCTTAAGTATATGTAGAGGAATTAGAAATCAAGGTATAAATGCAAAAGTGTAAATGTCACTGAAACAAAGAATGGAATAAGATGGAACAAGAAATGTACCGAACACATATAAAGAACAGATGGACTCACTAAATACGTGATAAACGGCATGTGGGAAGATAATAGAGGAAGAGATGGTGAAAGTCATAAATGAGGTCGTAACTCACTGACAAGTGACCCGGCAAATGATGGCGAATAAGAATACACCAAAACAATTTAAGACGTGGCGCGCGACAGGTAGATCCTCACTTTAATGTATGTGTAGGCTCTGCTTTCTTTGCTCTGGCTACGTCTGGTTCGTGTGCCGCTCGGTCTTATTGTTCTGTGGAAGTCGAAGATGCCGTTCAACACCTGAAACACAAAGATTATAGAATAAACTGTTTGCTGAAACAATTTGCAAACGAGTTTAACTTTTCTCATTGCTGAAACGTTGTAGATTTTCCATACGTTTTGTGCGAGGTGGAGTCGTTACCTGTCCCTAGACATTCGGTTCGTGTTCTGAACACTCTGTTACACCACGGGTTGGATGAAAATATATTCTTATTTAAAAACGACGAATTTTACTCTCATCATTTAAGTAAAACGGGGAAAATAATGTTCGTTAAAATCGGTGTTTAGAATTTTATATATTGAAAAATTCTATGTAAAATTTACTGCACAAAATTTGTTTCCAGAATGCTTCTCTCTATATATCTACATGTCTGTATATCTTACCCACTAAAGCATTAAGAAATGAACGTCTTTTGTTCATATTAGGAATTCTTGAGTTTACGTATCATATGTTCATTATTCTCAATTGCAGTTGTTAGAAAGTCAGTTGCGAGGTTCACCCAGCTTCTTATCAAATACTTATCCGATCATGTGGGATTTGTGGTGAACAAAGTGGCAGGTTCTACATTCGTCTATCATCATGATCCGGGACTGGTGAGATGGGTCCGCTAGTGCAAGGGGCACTACGTGAGCTCTGTCTCAGCACATCCCACGAATTCACAAGCTTACCTCTGGGTATTGCCGATGCAGGAGCCTCGCTGTGTGGCCGTAGCGGCGTGGCAAGTCAAGAAATACAGCAAGGCGCGTGCGGTTGACCACGTCTCGTTCCAGGTAAACGTCAAAAAGAGGCGCTCCGTTGACCAGCAAAAGGCGAGACAGCAAGGGCGTCAGGTCGGGAGGCTGGGGAGTTCCGGGCAGCAGGTACCCCCCTAAGTCATTCAACAGCGCGAACACTGCAACATCCCTCCTCTTTTGTTAACCTTGAAACGCTTACACCAATGAAGAGATTCTAGGATTTATCGGATATCAAATTCTTACGGTGGTCAGTACTGAGATGATGGTTGTCTGGATTTAGTTCCGCGTAGTTCGGAGGGAGCCCGGCGTGTCAAGAGATCATATTGCCTCCATTTTCAGGGTGAAATTGGCAAAAAGCAGCACATTTTATAAAAAAAATATTTTCGGCATACTTCCTTTATTTTCTTAAAAAATAAAAGGAGGCATATGAGATCACCATGCGCTCTTTGTGTCTGTGAATCTCCTCCCCTATCTAACTTAGAATCTTTATGAAACTTGGTATGTACATCACGACACCTGAGCCCATCTCAACGGCATAGTTCATAAATCCCTTCCATAAGTCCGTATCTCTATTTGTAACCACCTTTTCGTTGCTAGACAACAGTTAGGTAAAATTATTATCGCGGTAACAAATATATATGCAACAATAGAAAAATTGAAGAAAGTAGTCTTCTGGGTTTAGGCGCCGTGTATTCTTCGTTTTGGCCGACGTTTCGGAGGAACGTATCGCCTCCATCTTCAGAGCAGATGACTGGTTTGGAACGCAGCGCCTAAACCCAGAAGACCACTTTCTTCATAGTCATCGCCGTGAAAACCTCAAAACTTAAATAGAAAACTTGTTGGACATGTCTTTTTATATGCAGCCTGTATCGTGTGAAAGAAGGCAGGCGTTTAGTTTTCCCAGAACTTCTTGTTTAATTTTTTCTTTCAATATGTTCTGAAAATAATATTAATTTTTTCACGTGAAATTATAATTTGGAAATATTAGCAAGGGAAGAGTTTATTTGACGATTTCTAAAGACCTATTATTATAAATGGCATCACCATTTCGAAGGAAGTACCATGGCAACTCATTGACCTTCAAGAACCCCCGAAGACATCTCTTCACATCGCCTCGAATGCAGGCCAGATGATTTGATAAAGTGTACAATTCCCATTCAAACAGAGAGCATATGTGACGTAAGTAAAATCATTACTCACTTGGAGCAGTTGATATTCTCTTGTCCCTCGTTTTCAGACAGCTATTGTAGAACAGCCCTAATTTCTGAAACGGTCCAGATCTAGTAGAGAGGGTCAGGAGTTCTGCAGGAAGAGAACATACGTCAATATTCACCAAAGGCTTCCTTTGCCTACTACAAAGTACAGCGTTTTTCAACTTTAAGTAACATAGAGTTTGGGCCGCGCCATCGCTCAAGCGGTTAGTCGCTGGCTTTCCGCCGAGGCGGCCCGGGTTCATTCCCGGGTCTGGTCAAGCAGGATTTGTGGTGGACAAAGTGGCGCTGGGGCGGGTTTTCTCCGAGTACTTCGGTCTCTCCTGCCAATCTTCATTCCACCAAATTCTCCATCATCATAATCACCCGGGAAAGGCTACAATAGGCCAATCAGCGGCTGACTTGCCGAGTGGACCCAGCTTGAATCCACCCCCCACACTATGAATTAAAAAAAACACTGAGTTTCCATGCTGACTTTATTTTCATCTGAGAATAAATAATGATATATACCTAAGACCTCAAATACACTCAACTGTACTGCTCTCTACGTTATCCTGGTAACAACTGTAAGACTTTGTCAGGTCATGTGGAGCCCAGAGGTCCATAAGAGTCTGAGTCTGTTTGCTATCCTGAGCCGGATCAATCCAAAATAAACCATTAAGAATCATGTATTTAAGTAGCACATTTTGGATTGTTTTTTCAGCTCTGTTTTCGTGTACAATGCTGACTCTTCCCTGCAGTTTTTCCGATTCAATACGAGTATTCTGTTTGGATTCGCAGTTCATAGAATTCACATATCCCGTCTATTTCATCCCCATTTATTTGATCGTCCTGATGATGGCGCCTAACAATTTGAGCGTTCAAAGTACAATTCTTAACATTCGTCATTAAACAAGTTTCTCGTTCCTCATCTTCAATCGTTTCTTGAGTTAAAAATATTGTAACCTGTTTCGTTACTGAAGACGCCGTAGAGATCGTTAATTGGTTTATTTAACAATCTACAAGTAACTGCTATAATTACTTATCACCCTATGCGCAAATCAGTTCACTCTGTCTTCAGCAGTCTACACGTTTACAGTAGGGGAGCTTTGTATCACTGTATCACGCGCTCCCAATTACACAATTACACACACGTCCGGTTCTTCTTTCCGCGACGGCTGCTATACTCCAACTGCAGTCGGCTGACTGGAGAACTCTTGATAACACACTCTCGCTCGACTACTACTGATCTCTGCGACTGTCGCAGTACAACTGACTCGGCGACTGTTACGTTACAACTCGACTCGTCGACTGTTACGTTACAACTAACTCGCAGCCGCTGTGCAGCTCACTTATATATCCGCAGTGCTTGCCTGTTGCGTAATGAGTGCCACGTCATCCTGTTACGTCACCGCTGTTGACTCGCGTTGCATAGCTACCAGGTTGCGGGGACTCGGCTAACTTCGGCTCCGCTCGGCTCACTTCGGCTCCGCTCGTGACGTCACCGCGGGGAGAGTGGCGGGGTGATGACTCGCCTACTACGCGAGCGCTACGTTACCGCCACGTGCCGCTGGGGAGGTAAGGGTCCTCGGTTGCGCAACATGTCACAATATTGTGGCACGTAGACCTGTTGCTAGGCAACGACCGCGAAATAAGCAACTGTAAACAACCGGCTCCCCAAACAAGTATGATTCCACGGCAACATTTGCACTACAACAGAGGAACTGTGTTTTCTACGAGGTCCGTGCCAAAATATAATAAGTAGGACAGTTTATGAGTTGCAGTTAGTACGAAAAGTAATACACAATTAATGTCACATGCAGGGCCTATAACTTAAAAAAATAATGGATATAGTTAATCCCGTGTGGAGGTGGGGTCGAATACCTCCACCGTAGACCTGCGAGGTGTAGGAGGCGAAAAGGGGAAGTATTGAATCGTGAGTCCCACGGGACTCGGACCCGAGAATGACTGCGCTGGCGAGGGTCAGCAGCAATTGTAAAAGACAGAACCGTTTTCTAGTCAGAGAGAGCGCCTCATATCAACCTCACCACTGTCTGGCAGTAATAAAAATCTGGTCATAAGTCCCAGATGGGTGCTTCATTCCAAGGGAAACTGGCCGACTGACTGTCGGTAGTAGCTTAAGGCTCACACTCAGACTCGCCTGCAGTTAGTTTCGCTTGAATGAGGGAGTGAGTGAGAGGACTGTTGCTGCTAGAAGCTGGCAGCTGAGGCACGGGGAGTGAAAAGAATAGGTCAGTCAGCTTTTATGCGGTGACCAGTTGCTCGTAATCTCCCATACCGTAAGACTTAACTATAGCCGTCCGCCCACTTACAGTTGCCACGACTGTCGCTCGAGCTTGAGTTCTTTCTCTCATGGATACGGGTGCTTTGGAGATGGGAGTGGAACACACTTCGGGGTAAATAAATCCGGGATCTCCAGAACACGCCGTGGATGGCAGTTTTAATTTAAAATTTCATTAATGATGAATCTGTACATTATTCTCCTA